TTTCAGTAAGAGCTGCATGCGGCTCTTGGAGCCACATTTGCCCATGGTGGGTCTATACATCTCTAGACAGTGTTGAATAGAGATATGTTAATTATGTTCACATTTTAATAAATTCTAGACAGTAATAGAAGTTAATTTCATTAATAATGAATTAGGAATTGTTTTCAAGTTTAGGTTGTTAAATATGAACTATATTCTTGTATTTAAAAATTAGCCTTGTGTTATTAAATCTTCACACAGATAGTATCTTAATCAGAATTTCAGCAAAGAATTTTAATATAATGCAGCACGGAATGCGACAAATTACTTACCATGGCATTATAATTTATCCAAAAAATATCCTTGGTTAAACAGTTTTGACAACTGTATATTATTTTTTTCATCTTATCAAAAGAAATTTATAAACTCTGCTAACTAATACTAACATCTCACAATTTTTATATTGAAAAACATCAACAAAGTAAATACACATTAGCTTTGTGGTGTATGCTTTAATATCAATTGAGTTTTCTTGAATCAGTTCATGGTGTTATTAAAATTGTCTTAATTTGCCTTAATTTGTCAAATTTCTTAACACCATAAACTGACTCTAGAAAAATCAATTGATGATAAATTCCTGATTTTCCAGCAGATTATTGCATCTCCTTACAGCTGGATTGTAAAATAAATAATAATAAAAAAATTAGTTTTAAAAATTTTGAATTATATTATCATTAAGTTTAGTTTATTCCAAATTTAAATATTGGTTTTCAGATTGTTGATATAACTGAAAATCAATACTTCAAAGTCAGGTTATAAAGAAACTAATGGAAGAAACAAATATTTTTGTAATTGTTAAATATGAATCCTCACTTAGTTAATACCACAGCTTCCATGAAACTGTCAATAAGCAAAACAACATATGACAAAATCGATTTTACCATAGACTAAATGATATAAACAAGATGGTTTCTGTATTTTTTGAAGTAGTCTTCATTTCCAATCACCTAGAAAGACTACTACTGTTTGTGATGATGGAAATGAAGATGAAATTAGATCTTCTGTCTTTTTTAAATTGTAAAAATACTGTTTGCCTTTTTTAATTGAAGATGCAATTATAATTAAATTAACTGAATTATAACTTCTAGCCAAACAATCATTGATTGTATGAAGTGGAAAATAAATTTTATAAAGAAAATTTAACAATAATAATTTTAAATGATTATAATGAAATAACAAATGAGGACTTTGCTGTATAATAAATATAAAATAGTTTATTTTACCAAATTTCAAAATAAAGACACTTAAAACTCTCTCTTATGCAAATTAGTAAACAAAGATGTCTTGATTATTTTAAATGTATAAAATTTCCTTTTAGGTAGCTTGAATAGTTAGGTCAAAAACATTTCTTGTCAAATAAATTATGGCTACCTTTGAAAGAAACAGTTTTGCATCAACTCTGGAATCTAACTGATTTTAGCGATTAGTTTTATTAGCAAATTCTAAACAAAACATTAAGTTAATTATATAATTCATTACTCTCATACATTAAACTGTTGATAGATTCATTAAATGTGCATAAATTTTGAAAATACACGATTTCATTTGTATTATTAAAATAATGTGCCTAAAAATATTGCAATGTTACTGGCATATTCCACATTCATAGCAAGTAGATGTCTTTTTTCTGGTTTTATGTGGGAATATTTCACACTATTTTCTTTTACTACTTCCTACTGACAATGTGTAGTAGTAGAACAAACATTTATCATAATTCAACTTTCATTGCATTCTTCAGCTGCAAATTAATTTATGATTTCCTTTACACATTAACAATAAAAAACTCCAAGCAAATATTAAAATGCAAAAGAAAGGGGGGGGGGTAAAAAGTACAATAGATAAAAGGCAAGACTTTAGAATTATATAATAACCTTTTTATTGTTTTAAAAATGCTTGTAAAAAAGTGAATTAAAATTTTTACTTGATTTCAAGATACTTTGCATCATAATTTCCTTTGCCAAGTCTTTTAGAAAGTATCTTCTTCAATTGATAATTCCCTCATGATTGATAGGTAGATAATTGTACAGCATACATAACCCAAAAATTTATAGCAGCTATTTTAAGAGCATTGGCCAGTATTTCATTTAATGTTTACAAGAATAAGTATCATCCTTGAGACTTGCAAACATCCTGCCATTTGACCTAATGTATCTACACTCAACTTTGTTGCATTATAATTTCAGGTTCCATTTTTGATTCTGTAATATATATTACAATGCCATACCACTGCAGAAAATGACAAAAGTGTGATGAAATAGAAGTTATTAAACAACTTTAATTATCACTTGTGACTCAACTAAAAGTACACAATTTGGAAGAAACAATAAAACATCTTCATATCCTGTCCTCCTTTCAAAACCTCAAAAACTAAACAGATGTGAAGACATTTTATTATTTCATCCACATTGTGAATATTTTTTAAGATAAAATATGCTCAGGAATGAACGAGTACAAAAAATAGCAATAAATTCACACACACTGTATATATGGGGGTTAGGTCAGGGTAAGTAGATATTTTTCCAATGATTGGAGTGCACTAAGGCTTGTGTCAAATAATGTTACAAGTGTCAAAACAGCCAAATTGAGATTTTAATAACAATACATGCACAGTAAAACAATGCAGCAAGTATCTTTACTAATTAAAAAAATCTGACTGGTTACCATGAAAAATGTTTCCAATTTATCAACTGTATGAAAAAAATTTTTTTGTGCATATAAAATGGCAGACAAGCAGGCATTCACTCTTGCCTCTTCAGGGTTTCAAATGTAAAATTTAGACAAAAGAGCAAGCATCATCAACCCTCAAATTGGAATCATAAGAAGTCAGAAAATGAATATTTGGCATGCAATGGCCAAATTAAACTAGCTGTAGTCTTGAGAAAGATTAGTGGAAAAAACATTCCTTGTGCCATGCTGCAAACTTCAGAACATGGAGCATGTAACAAAGGATAACATAAAGAACCTTTAGAAAATTTTTTTTTTGTGATGCCAAGGGTTCAGATTACTTCTGATGACCCTATGTCGTTAGAATAAGATGCTCGCATGATGATTTACAGCCACAAGATGCATTTTCCTTACTGCTGTCAATGAGAAATCATGCATACAAGGAAATTTTGAATTACTTTATAAACATAGTAGATGAAGGCCATCACAGTAGGCTGCTCTCAGTTACAAGAGAAATGCGTACTTTAATATATTTTTAATTCAAAGTAAGATTCTGCATTTAAACTTTTAAAACATTCCATGTGACGTGTACATGCAACTTTTTCCATTACACAGAATGCTTTATTGTTGTTTTCTGAAATATTTTACAAGCTGCAAAAAATTGGATCAAATTCAATGTCATTGATTTCTTACATTTAGTAGTCATTGCTTCAACTGCTCTAGTGCAGTTTAGGGGATTTTCTGGGTTTTTTTTTTTCTGTAAACATTATTTTGGCAGTTGCAATGTTTTTGAGACAAGCCTTCAATTGGAGTTGATAAGCCTTAGGCAATAAATAAAGGAGGATTCCCAGTAGAAAGTTGTGATAATGTTTCTGGTTTGAGTAGACATCGTATGTTGTCTCAAAGTGGTGTGTAGCATTCCTGGAAAGCTAAATCTGTCACTGATCTTGCAAGGTTATTTTGGGAGATGGCTGTGGCATGTTCCTTCAGATAGGGGCCACAACTAGAAGCTAAAAATCTATCAGTATATCATCTCTATTAGTGGGATCTCTCAGAAGGATGAGGTAGATGCCAGAATTTTCCCTATATATGGTGGTGAAATCTTCTACCTCAAAGAATAACCATGACAGTAATGTTGGTGTGGTGGAGTAGCTCAGAAAAAACACTCTTCAAAATTGGGTTAGATTCAAGACAGGATATTTTAACTGCTAACTTAGCAGAGGAGTTGAAGTGCAATTTGATGCATCCTGATTGTGTTAAAAATTGGGAGAGCTGGAAGTCCTGAGTGGAATAAACCACGAATTGTTTGGTCTTATCAGCAGTGAGAAGGCACAGGTTGTAGATGTCAGGAAACTCCTGATCCTTTTGATGACAGGCTCAAAGACATTGGAATGGTAAGAAGGTACTTAAACCACTGCCCACCTCACCCTATCTAAACAATCAACGAACAAGGCTGACTCCTTTGATCTTGTTTCATCTCTTCTTGTTGACTAAAATCAATACCAATCAGATTCTAGTTAGCAGACTTTGATCCTTTAGACCAGCGTTTNATATATTATATATAATATTAATTAAGAATGAAAAAATCAAATGTAAATTGTTCTGTGTTTGGAAATTATCTATTAATTAAGGTTACATTACCTCAATCATTTAAAGAAAATTATCCCAAAACAAGAGTAATCATTGACTGTACAGAAATTAAAACTGAAAAGCCATCATCAGTTCAACATCAAATTCAGTTTTATTCCTACTATAAATCTACTTATACTATAAAATATTTAATTGGAATTGCCCCCATCAGGACTTCAATGCATCCTCCAATTATAAATGAGTGAATTTTTTTCATTTGAAAACACTAAAACTATTTACTTAAAATACTATTTACAATTGCAAAAAGTAGAACATTTGCATCTTCTCTAATAGTGAACAAATGAATGTCTCATCTTTTTCCACTTTAAGAATTACATTTTGTTTATCATTTTGTTTACATTTAAAATTGAATATTTGTTACATATAAAGCTAATTGGATTTTGTGTATAATACATGCTATTCTCTTTTATATAAAGTTTAGAATTTTTAAACTAAATATTTTATAAATACTTTTCTGAGAACCAAGGGGGTAGAGCATCAAGCTTCTCCCCACTTATCAGCAGCTCTGTCAGAGATGGCTGATAGGGGAGCAAAAATGTGAATGGGGAGGGGTAGCGAGATCATGACAAGGTACTGGCTGTACTCAAGGATGACACAGCATTAAATATAAAAATAACGTTTGTAGAATTTCACCGGATGAAAATTTATTTTAATCCAGCAAAATTCTACAAACAAAACTTTTTTTAATTCGTCACCAGAGGGATAAGGCCAAAATTTACATTTAACAGCGCATTTATCAAGTTGATAAGGACCAAAATTCCCTAACTGGAAAGGATGCAAGTTCAAGACGTCTGTAAGGCCGCCAGTTCCAATTTTTTACTTTTAATGTTTTAATTGGATATTTTTGTGTGTTTTTTTAACGAATGTTTTAGCCTGACGACCTAGTAGGCTACAAAGAAAGGTCGGGTTGTCGAAGGTGTTCTGGAACACATGATCAGAATAAATGGTGGTTTCAAAAAATAATTTTTGGACAGACTGTGTCTTTTGTGATTATAATATAAAAATAACGTATTTAATTATCTAAACTTATACAACGAATACAAATCAAAAAGGTTACAATAAGGGAATAATTTGTCTAATAAGACTCTAAAACTAAGATATCTAACTCGAAAGACCTACAGTAATATGGTCTAAGATCAAGCTATGATCGAGAGAGTGACAAGGAACAAAAGAGAGAGAGCATCAAAATTTTCTAATTGATTAACTCGCGGATTTCCGATCTCATAATATAGGCCGTGTGTAAAACGAACCAGATTGGCGGTCCTCTCCTTTCAATCAGGTGATTATGGCGGGAAGGCAGGGTTGCAACGGACGGAATGACGGTGTGGGTCTGGTGTCTCCCAGATGTCCACTGTGGGTATCTGCAGGCTGTCCGTGCCCGGAGGTGCAAGTGCGATCCTTTTTTTTATACACGCCCTGGAGGGGATCATCGGGGAAAAATCTGATGCAATCACCTTTGCGGAACGGTTCTTTTGATTTATTACGTTTTCTACCCGTTATTGATACACTTTCCCCTCATAAATTTGACAACAGCTGTCAACTTCTTAAATTAATTGCTGCAGGTGGCTAAGATCAGAACATCTGTGGGCCACCGGGGTGATGATTGTGTTGACCTTTTTGTTACTCTTTATCATGTAACAGGTGGAGATTCTTGTTAATTGGGTACTTTGTTACAATGTACAAATGAGGTGGAAATGAATAATCTCCTGTTATGAGGGGAGAATTTCCACATTTGTCCTAACCATCTTGAAGGTCACCTTTCAAAGTGATGCAGTACTCTGAGGGGTCAAAAGGTCTAGCTTCAACAAAACTGGAGGAAGGAGGGAAATAATGATGAAAAATGTTTTAAGCCTTTAAAACTTCCAAGAGAGTCTGAATCCTCACACCTTATTTGTCTTGAAATCAACAAATTTTTATCTTTACATGTGTAAGGGTATTTAATTTTGAGTAAACTTATTTTATCTCCATTTTTGCATATACCATCAGGGCTTGCACAAATCCAGGGAGCTTCATTACAAATGATAACTCCTACATCAATTATTCTAATATTTTTAAGCAAAAATAAATTTTTTGCAATTTTTTCCAATTTAATTCCATAATCAGTTGCAATTGTTTCCTTGACTGTATTATTTAAAAATCTAAAATCCAATTTTTCAAAATTGCTTTTTGTTGTTTTTATAGAATGAGCCATAGAGCTGCTTAATCTGTATCCTTTGTAAATGAACCAGTCTGGACATCTGCTTTGTTTTCTTGTGAGATAGGCTATTTGAGCAAGTTTTGAAAGTGTGATAATCACATCATCATTTAAAAATGTTATGTTTGTAGGTAGTTTTTCAACAATTTTATAACAATTATTCATATGTTTAATTACACCATTATTTGAAAGTAAAGATTTAAAATATAATTCCTCACATTGTTCATGAACTGTGTTGATTAAATCAGATAGCAGCACTTGACATTGTGCATTTTCATTGAATTCAGCTCTCAACATTCAATAAAGAGCACAGTTAATGTGTTTTACTCTTTTGATACGATAATGATGCTGGTATTTTTATCCTTTTTGGAATTACACAATTACTAAGGTGACATCCACCTGATGTGTATATCTTATGTTGTTGAATTCCCCATTGTTGTTTTCCACTGGTAACACTTTTGTTTTTATAATTGTTTAATGCAAAAATCGTTGCTGCTACATGTTTACACTGACCATGGATATCTCTCTTGCACTTACACATTGCTGTAACTATTTTTCTATCTGCTGATAACTGAAAATTAATTTGTTTTAAAAATAATTTGCAAAACCTGTATGAAATATTTTTATTGAAGAATAACTCAACAGTATATAGCTTAATAAAAGTAGCAATATACAATTTTGTTGTCATGCAAATCATCCTCTTTGTTTATTGCAGAGAGGTTATGCTGACATCTAAAATTATTTAAAAGTGCAAATTAGCAATTTAAATGTAAAAAATGTCTTATATAAATAATACAAATATAATGATTTCTCATTCATTTTCATTTGGAGTAGGCAAGTAGCTGTAGCTGTACTTCTTCCATTTTTTTAATTTCTTTAATTGCAGCTACATGCTTAGCCTTTGCAAGTAAATTCCTTTCTTCCATCTCAAAGGTGTAAAAAATTTGTCAGTATGGACTGGTTGAAAACCACATGTTAAAATTATATCAGGCATTATTGATTAAAAGAGGAAAATTACACTCCAGTTAATGAAAGTTCTATTTTTTAATTTTAAACATTTAAAATTTGGTAAGTTGAAATTAAAAACTGTTACTTGATTTTCTGTACCAAGAAACCCTTTGTTTGGTAAGTGTTCATATAGAGAAGAAACCCTTTGGATTTTTCTCCTATGTGTTATATAAAAATTTGCTGCCAGGGCGGGCGCGCGCAAGTAACTTGCGCTCGGGGTCTATACCAGGGGTGGGCAAGCAAGAGGTCAGTGGGAGCCGAAATATAGGTTTTGCAAAATGCATGGGAGCCGCAGTTCTGTACTTTTTTTATTCTGTACCGCAGTTCTGTACTGTGATTTTATTATATAATATAAAACAAATATTGAATTTTTTTAATAAACCTATTTTCACAAAATTGTGGAAATAAAATTGTAAAAATAATAATAAAAAGCAGAAATTAACACTTTCAGTAAGAGCTGCATGCGGCTCTTGGAGCCACATTTGCCCATGGTGGGTCTATACATCTCTAGACAGTGTTGAATAGAGATATGTTAATTATGTTCACATTTTAATAAATTCTAGACAGTAATAGAAGTTAATTTCATTAATAATGAATTAGGAATTGTTTTCAAGTTTAGGTTGTTAAATATGAACTATATTCTTGTATTTAAAAATTAGCCTTGTGTTATTAAATCTTCACACAGATAGTATCTTAATCAGAATTTCAGCAAAGAATTTTAATATAATGCAGCACGGAATGCGACAAATTACTTACCATGGCATTATAATTTATCCAAAAAATATCCTTGGTTAAACAGTTTTGACAACTGTATATTATTTTTTTCATCTTATCAAAAGAAATTTATAAACTCTGCTAACTAATACTAACATCTCACAATTTTTATATTGAAAAACATCAACAAAGTAAATACACATTAGCTTTGTGGTGTATGCTTTAATATCAATTGAGTTTTCTTGAATCAGTTCATGGTGTTATTAAAATTGTCTTAATTTGCCTTAATTTGTCAAATTTCTTAACACCATAAACTGACTCTAGAAAAATCAATTGATGATAAATTCCTGATTTTCCAGCAGATTATTGCATCTCCTTACAGCTGGATTGTAAAATAAATAATAATAAAAAAATTAGTTTTAAAAATTTTGAATTATATTATCATTAAGTTTAGTTTATTCCAAATTTAAATATTGGTTTTCAGATTGTTGATATAACTGAAAATCAATACTTCAAAGTCAGGTTATAAAGAAACTAATGGAAGAAACAAATATTTTTGTAATTGTTAAATATGAATCCTCACTTAGTTAATACCACAGCTTCCATGAAACTGTCAATAAGCAAAACAACATATGACAAAATCGATTTTACCATAGACTAAATGATATAAACAAGATGGTTTCTGTATTTTTTGAAGTAGTCTTCATTTCCAATCACCTAGAAAGACTACTACTGTTTGTGATGATGGAAATGAAGATGAAATTAGATCTTCTGTCTTTTTTAAATTGTAAAAATACTGTTTGCCTTTTTTAATTGAAGATGCAATTATAATTAAATTAACTGAATTATAACTTCTAGCCAAACAATCATTGATTGTATGAAGTGGAAAATAAATTTTATAAAGAAAATTTAACAATAATAATTTTAAATGATTATAATGAAATAACAAATGAGGACTTTGCTGTATAATAAATATAAAATAGTTTATTTTACCAAATTTCAAAATAAAGACACTTAAAACTCTCTCTTATGCAAATTAGTAAACAAAGATGTCTTGATTATTTTAAATGTATAAAATTTCCTTTTAGGTAGCTTGAATAGTTAGGTCAAAAACATTTCTTGTCAAATAAATTATGGCTACCTTTGAAAGAAACAGTTTTGCATCAACTCTGGAATCTAACTGATTTTAGCGATTAGTTTTATTAGCAAATTCTAAACAAAACATTAAGTTAATTATATAATTCATTACTCTCATACATTAAACTGTTGATAGATTCATTAAATGTGCATAAATTTTGAAAATACACGATTTCATTTGTATTATTAAAATAATGTGCCTAAAAATATTGCAATGTTACTGGCATATTCCACATTCATAGCAAGTAGATGTCTTTTTTCTGGTTTTATGTGGGAATATTTCACACTATTTTCTTTTACTACTTCCTACTGACAATGTGTAGTAGTAGAACAAACATTTATCATAATTCAACTTTCATTGCATTCTTCAGCTGCAAATTAATTTATGATTTCCTTTACACATTAACAATAAAAAACTCCAAGCAAATATTAAAATGCAAAAGAAAGGGGGGGGGGTAAAAAGTACAATAGATAAAAGGCAAGACTTTAGAATTATATAATAACCTTTTTATTGTTTTAAAAATGCTTGTAAAAAAGTGAATTAAAATTTTTACTTGATTTCAAGATACTTTGCATCATAATTTCCTTTGCCAAGTCTTTTAGAAAGTATCTTCTTCAATTGATAATTCCCTCATGATTGATAGGTAGATAATTGTACAGCATACATAACCCAAAAATTTATAGCAGCTATTTTAAGAGCATTGGCCAGTATTTCATTTAATGTTTACAAGAATAAGTATCATCCTTGAGACTTGCAAACATCCTGCCATTTGACCTAATGTATCTACACTCAACTTTGTTGCATTATAATTTCAGGTTCCATTTTTGATTCTGTAATATATATTACAATGCCATACCACTGCAGAAAATGACAAAAGTGTGATGAAATAGAAGTTATTAAACAACTTTAATTATCACTTGTGACTCAACTAAAAGTACACAATTTGGAAGAAACAATAAAACATCTTCATATCCTGTCCTCCTTTCAAAACCTCAAAAACTAAACAGATGTGAAGACATTTTATTATTTCATCCACATTGTGAATATTTTTTAAGATAAAATATGCTCAGGAATGAACGAGTACAAAAAATAGCAATAAATTCACACACACTGTATATATGGGGGTTAGGTCAGGGTAAGTAGATATTTTTCCAATGATTGGAGTGCACTAAGGCTTGTGTCAAATAATGTTACAAGTGTCAAAACAGCCAAATTGAGATTTTAATAACAATACATGCACAGTAAAACAATGCAGCAAGTATCTTTACTAATTAAAAAAATCTGACTGGTTACCATGAAAAATGTTTCCAATTTATCAACTGTATGAAAAAAATTTTTTTGTGCATATAAAATGGCAGACAAGCAGGCATTCACTCTTGCCTCTTCAGGGTTTCAAATGTAAAATTTAGACAAAAGAGCAAGCATCATCAACCCTCAAATTGGAATCATAAGAAGTCAGAAAATGAATATTTGGCATGCAATGGCCAAATTAAACTAGCTGTAGTCTTGAGAAAGATTAGTGGAAAAAACATTCCTTGTGCCATGCTGCAAACTTCAGAACATGGAGCATGTAACAAAGGATAACATAAAGAACCTTTAGAAAATTTTTTTTTTGTGATGCCAAGGGTTCAGATTACTTCTGATGACCCTATGTCGTTAGAATAAGATGCTCGCATGATGATTTACAGCCACAAGATGCATTTTCCTTACTGCTGTCAATGAGAAATCATGCATACAAGGAAATTTTGAATTACTTTATAAACATAGTAGATGAAGGCCATCACAGTAGGCTGCTCTCAGTTACAAGAGAAATGCGTACTTTAATATATTTTTAATTCAAAGTAAGATTCCGCATTTAAACTTTTAAAACATTCCATGTGACGTGTACATGCAACTTTTTCCATTACACAGAATGCTTTATTGTTGTTTTCTGAAATATTTTACAAGCTGCAAAAAATTGGATCAAATTCAATGTCATTGATTTCTTACATTTAGTAGTCATTGCTTCAACTGCTCTAGTGCAGTTTAGGGGATTTTCTGGGTTTTTTTTTTCTGTAAACATTATTTTGGCAGTTGCAATGTTTTTGAGACAAGCCTTCAATTGGAGTTGATAAGCCTTAGGCAATAAATAAAGGAGGATTCCCAGTAGAAAGTTGTGATAATGTTTCTGGTTTGAGTAGACATCGTATGTTGTCTCAAAGTGGTGTGTAGCATTCCTGGAAAGCTAAATCTGTCACTGATCTTGCAAGGTTATTTTGGGAGATGGCTGTGGCATGTTCCTTCAGATAGGGGCCACAACTAGAAGCTAAAAATCTATCAGTATATCATCTCTATTAGTGGGATCTCTCAGAAGGATGAGGTAGATGCCAGAATTTTCCCTATATATGGTGGTGAAATCTTCTACCTCAAAGAATAACCATGACAGTAATGTTGGTGTGGTGGAGTAGCTCAGAAAAAACACTCTTCAAAATTGGGTTAGATTCAAGACAGGATATTTTAACTGCTAACTTAGCAGAGGAGTTGAAGTGCAATTTGATGCATCCTGATTGTGTTAAAAATTGGGAGAGCTGGAAGTCCTGAGTGGAATAAACCACGAATTGTTTGGTCTTATCAGCAGTGAGAAGGCACAGGTTGTAGATGTCAGGAAACTCCTGATCCTTTTGATGACAGGCTCAAAGACATTGGAATGGTAAGAAGGTACTTAAACCACTGCCCACCTCACCCTATCTAAACAATCAACGAACAAGGCTGACTCCTTTGATCTTGTTTCATCTCTTCTGGTTGACTAAAATCAATACCAATCAGATTCTAGTTAGCAGACTTTGATCCTTTAGACCAGCGTTTCTCAAAGTGGGCGATAACGCCCCCTTGTGGGCGCTGGAGGCTTTCAGGGGGGCAGTAGAAGGCTCAAAGGAAATTGGGGGGCGTTAAGGAAATCTAGAGGGGCAACGGCAGACAAATTCTGTATATAAAAATCTGTGACGGAATATATATAAAATGTTGACATTTTATTTATTTTTTATTGAAGGTCATAAGTTGAATATTTCTAACACATTGACTTATATTTTAGCTCAGCGTTTCTCAAAGTGGGCAATAACGCCCCCTTGTGGGCGATGAGTAGATCTAGGGGGCGCTGGAGGCAGGGTATTGAACGGTGACCAAAGGCAAAATTGGGGCTGATAAGAGGAAACATTGCGTTTAATGGTTTCCAGATGTTGTGAACAATGTACAGTAAGGGGACAAAGTGTGAGATTCATATAAAAGTTTTTTTAAGAATATTTCCAATCCTTTCTCACACAAGAGAAAATGGGTTAGGGGACATTGGGTATAACTTTATGGAACAGAGGGGGCGGTGGATGGAAAAAGTTTGAGAATCACTGCTTTAGACAAAAGCTTGAGATTTGTAGCAGGAACAATCACTGGTGAGAAGTTAATATACAGAACACACAATTCCTGCTTTCTACATGGTAGTGTCCATTGAAGCCAATTACATTTCTTATAAAGGCAGGCTCATTTTTGGGCCCTAGCTTTGGCAATCAAAATGTTTAGATTCATATAGAACTTTACAGCCATAATAATATATATGTTACTATACATTAATATATGTTACTGTGTGAAAATGGGCATTATTGTACTCCTCACACTTGACCAGAATCTTATGCCCAAATCATGAGAGGCTGTAGCCATTGCAACCTTTACATTATATACGGCTTGTTTAACACAGTCAGAGAATGACTGGAACTATAGATGCATTTCAGGATGAGTTCATATTGTTTGCATCTTCTTTTTGGACTACTATATTTAAATGTTTGCATAATTAAAGTCAATAGAAATAGGCATAAACCACACAGATCAGAAAATATGGATGTCATAAATTACATCCTGTCTGTTTTAATGTATATATTAATTTGAATTTTTCAAGATTTAAATAAGCTTTAAACATGAGCATAAATATAATAGTCTGAGAACATGTTAACTTACTGATATTATTTTTGTAATATGTTCTCAGACAAAAAAGCAATGATATTTTTTATATTACAGTGGAATCTCATTTATCCAGAAAATTTGTTCTTTGATTTTTTCACATGTCTAACTTTGTTAGTAGTACTTACTGTACATTCTTGCCTGAGTATAATGTCACAGTTGTAAGAATACTGTTTTTCCTTGGCTCAATGCTAATTTTGAACACATGCGACTTTATAACTGAGGATCTGATAACAAGAATAAATACAATACAGTATATCAAAATTAATTGAAATTAGTCCTTTGGTTTCCCTATGGAGTGCTAAGCCTAATTACTGGTTAACCTTGAAAAAGGTCAAAGAAAAGTTCTACCCCCACAAATGGTCAAGAAACTTATATACAGTACATGTACTTTACCAGCTGATAGAAAACAATGAATTTATATTCAATATAGATATTTCTTTTGCTTTATACTATAAATATTGTTGTAAAGTATAATGTGCAATAAATAAAATAAATAACACTGTTTAGATGTGCATTTTATGTCATTAACAAATTTTCCAGATTATCCGGATTGAGCATGGTCCCATTTGGGCCAGATAAATGGGGTTCCACTGTATTCGTGTATATGGAAATCTCAAAAATTTGGAGTCATTTTTTTAATTTAGAAAGAAATCACTTTAAGATTTTAACATTAATTTAAGTTTGTACATTTGTTCTAACAAATTACAAACAAAAAGATGAAATTTTTGAATGCAAATTGTCAAATTAAAAATAAATATTAGACTAATTCTTTATGCAGATTTGATGCAAAAAATATTTAAGAATTTTGAGATTTCGAATTTATACCTTTATATGGATATTACATTTTAGTTTAAACAGCACTTAATTACTCCAAAGTAAATTTACATTTAAACCTCACTATAATGAACTGTTTTGTGAGAACTTGGAGAATTCATTATGGAAAGAATCCAGTTGAGAGCAACATCATGCATGACAACATCGCTCCATTTAAACCAATCAGTACTTTTTCACTTAATATGTTAATGATAGAAAATAAAATTCACGCATTACCTAGGTGGCAGAACAACTTTTCCATTAATTGACTTAATTCATGCTATAAAAAATTTGCTATAGTTGTTAAATGCATGATTTGTCACAAACTTCCTTGTATTCCAATATCAGAACACGAAGCTTCCATAACACTGTTTATAACGGCAGTGACACCGTTTAACAAATGAGGAAGAAATTGGAAGTAACTTGCTGATGCTCGTTGGTTAATACCAATGATGATTCTTTCCACAGACAGACTAAATGAAAACAACACACTCAGTATTTTGTAATGATATATTATTCTCTACGGAAATATTCTTGTACTCACTCATATTTATAACAAAAGTGTGTTAAATGTTATGCATTTGAAACAAGCATATTATTTTAATCATAAGTACTCATTTTTTCAACACACACGCATATCATTTTTTTTGTTCTTGTTGAAAGAAAAATAAAACTTTTTTGTTAGAAACTTTTCCTACAATTTTGAACTATTCTTAGACATGTGTTTTGATCTTAGGAACAATACACATTATACTGTACTGAAAGTGGTTGTGTTGATGGCTATAGAGTTAGTTATCCAATAAAGTTAAAATACCAAATTTTTTTCAATAGTGCTATTTACCTGGATCTTAAAATATGTAAAAAAGGCATATTTTCTGTAAAACATTTTTAAATTTCTACTTTAAAAATAAATATAATTTTCCTTTCCATATTTGCTTTGTATACATAATATTGATGAATTTTGAAAGCACTAAATCTAAAGATTTAAGTTTCTATCTGATTTATAAGTATGTTAGGAACAATATCAAATATGACAAGTTATGAATAGAAATCATATTAGATGATTCCAATAAAATCTTATTTTCTGCTCTTTGGCTTTATAAATTTGATCTTAAAAACAGGTAGCTGCCAATACATAGGAATTGAAATCAGTCCGACAGCTTTATAGTTTTCATTTCAATAAATGCAGTTAAAATCTGTTAAGAAACTTTTTCGTTTATATAAAATTATTCTAGATTTCTGTATTCAGAATTTCGTAAATTTTGAGATAACAAGCAAGTCCATTCGCCTTAAAATAATTCAATAATTTTGATTCAAAGTTTATTTACAGTCAAACAAAATACATAATGAATTACCTGTGATTTTAAAAATAATATTTAAAGGGGGAAAAAGAGTTTTGCTTTATTGCATAGAAAACTATATAAATTGTATCATTCCTTAATTATTTATGTTGATGCTTAAATTAAATTATTATGCATAACAAAGACTGACTTTTTCAGAATGATGACCCGCCTTTAATGAGGAAATGTTATCGTGCAATGCAACATATTGAAGGAGACACCATCAGAGTTAGAGATTGCGTTTTACTGAAATCGGGACCTCGGAAAACAGATTTGCCTTTTGTGGCAAAGATTGTGTCATTGTGGGACAATCCATACGATGGTAGGATTGGAAAACTTAAGCTTTTTCAAAAATAATCTTTTATCTGATGATTATCAGTGTTTGACTCGCAACTTGCCAACTGGAAAATGATATCCGAAAAACTTTGTTTCAGATGAAATGATGATGAGTTTGTTGTGGTATTATCGACCGGAACACACGGAACAAGGAAGGAAATATTACCATAGTGAAGATGAAATATTTGCATCTAAGCACAGAGATGTTAATAGCGTAGCCTGTATTGAGGATAAATGTTATGTTCTTACATTTTCGGAATATTGCAGGTGAGAAATACATTTGAACTCATTTTTTTAAACATTTTATGCATGTTCTTTAAAATGACTATTAGAGTAAAATACATTTTAAAATAGTCTAATTGGTCTTGATCAATTGTTGACATTATAATAATTAATATAGTGCATTACTTTCTAAAATATTAAATAAAAGAAATATTTAATAGTATGAATTTTCTTTTGTAATTTAATAGCGTCCAACTTGCTTTTTGGCCCATTAGTGGCCGAGTGGATAAAATCCCCGAACACTGGTAATTGGTCGTGGCTTAGCACCTGACCAACAGACATTTTCTGGGTCTTCTTCAATATCTAACACCTAATTAGGGGCCAGTTTCCCACAGGAAGTCTTCCTGGGAGGTATCCCCTGGCAGATCTCCCATGTATTTCATTGCCGTATCTCATCATACCAAACCAACTTATTTTTTTAATATGTATATACAAGATTAATAATGCACTGTACAGTTTATATACTGAATTTTGTATTGTTGTTGTTATAATTTTAATTATTTTTATTGTTTTATTTTGTTACAGGTATAGAAGTAGATTAAAAATACTAGACGAAAGCATATGTTTGAAAGTTTCAGTTGTTCCCATTTTGGAAGAAGAATATGCCAGGAAAAATCGCTTACCTCCGGGTCATCTCTCATCAGAGATAGTGTTTTTTTGCCGAAAAGTTTACGATTACAGACAGAAGCGCATTTTGAAAAATCCCACGTAGCCAACAACAAGAAATATCAGCCACAAATTGTGCCAGTTAACAAAAATTGTGATACCTGTGCTTATTAGATATATAGTGACAATTGCTTTCATTAGTAGCAACTTAGTGTTTAAAAGAAATGAAAATTTGTATAAGATGACTGTACAGTTATGTTGAGGTCTTGTTTTCCTTTCTTTTAATTTATCTATTTATCTTCTTCTTTTTTTTATACACATAGGGTTGAGGACCAATCAGTGAAACCATTCACTGTACTGTTGTCAAAATATCATCGATAACTTATTTTATAACAAGAGTGTTTGTATGTGATGTATTGGTACACACTTAACATTGTGTTTCTTCTGCCCTGTTTAACAAAGTTTTTAATTTTATTTTAATCTGAAAAGATAAACTAATATATTATGGGAATATATAAATTTAGTGCATGTGAAATTATAAATTGTTAATATTAAATCCAATTTTATATTTATTTACATGTCCGAGGAAATAATTGAATAGTCAAGAATTGGGAACACAGAAGTCAACATTTTTCATTGCAAAATGACTCCAGATTAAATATTTTATCCAATTACTATGCACAGTGATGTTACACTTTTGTATTTATAACAGTAAAAATCCAGAATAATAAAAAAAAAATTACTAGAAATGTTTGTAACTGGAAGGCGAAAGCAAAGTAATTCAAAATCTTCTTAGTACGTCTTTTCTCGTATCACAGAAATTTAATTAAATACAAGTGGAATTAACCTTTTTTATGGGCTATTCCCAGCCTAATACTGTGTAGAAGTCCTTTCCGCTTGTGTTTCTGTTCCTGTTTGAGAAGAATGTACTAAGGAAACTTCAAATTATCTTTACACATGCCTTCAAATTGCATACATTTTTATTATTTTGGTAGTTGCTTGTTTCTACAATTAGAAAGAATACCCTCTGTTTGAATAGTGTTGATATATGTTGTTACAATTATGCTTGATGTGTTTTATATCAAAATATTATAGATGATTTAACTATATGATATTGAAAATTTGGTTCAAATCAGAAAAAAAATATTACATAATGTAAAATTTAATTTTTAAAGGAAAATGTAAATAAAAAAAAAAAGAATTTGTCAAATGATAAAGTTGAGATTGACTGTTTTTAAACATTACTCTAAATTAATTTATATTAAAATATGATAGCATCCCGAAGCTACTTTTCTTCAAAATTGCTTTGAAAATTCCATTTATCCAATTACTTTAAAATCACTAAAAGCATTTATCATTTTAAATTTAAACCTTTTTAATGAGAGTTCTATAGGCACACACTTGGAGTAGGTGGGCAGAGCAGAGAGGAAAAATTCTGTCTGCATTATAACTTATGGATATGTGTATGGGAGGAAATCTTGCATTCAGTTTGTCTTGAGCTGTTGGTGTCACTAACCTAGGGTACCCAGCTATTCCTGTATATGCCACTTACAGAAATTTTCCCTTTTTTAGTGGAGTGCTGTCATTTGTGTCATTTCTTTTATTTGTTTTTTTTTTTTTAACAAATTAACTAAGTTACATCTACATTAATTTCTCTAGGTCAAAACTGAAAAATTATATAATTTACAGCATCCTCTTTTAATAATAGGCAGGGTACCAAAAAAATGTTTATTTGAATACTTCTTTTGCTCCAAACTCTGCTTGATTGCCACTGCAATGCAACCAAGTGAGCAATTCTGCCTGCTCTGTCCACTCCAAATGTCCTATCCATCCATCCACACATCCATCCGAAGTGTGTGCTTATCTTATCTTTAAAACTATTCTGGAAATATTGCATGACAGAATTATTAAATTTTTTTTTGCTAACTACTGGCAGCAGAAACTATTTCCACAGGAGTCACTGTTGTTGCATGAATGGCACCATATTTTTAGAAGTTTGTGGGAAGGGCACATTTGTTTTCCACTGTATCCTTAATACAATCACCACAAATGTATAAAATTTGAAAATTATTATAGTTGCTATTTCCTAATTTTGATCTGTTGTATTTAAGACATGTAGTGGCCTACTTTTTAATTATTTGTTTAATATTTGCAAAATCCTTAATTTACAGTAATGAGATGGCCAATTAATGTCTTTTTATATGCCCAATAACTTATCTAGTCAGTATACTAATTTTACTTTCAGTATATAATGCCTAAAGCTCCTAGTTACAGTCCTAGAAAAATAGAAAAGGCTTCGTGAAATTAAGAATGAAACGGGATCGGATATGACGTCCCACAGACGATCTTACAATTTAAAGTAAAGCGCCCCAAATTAAAAGCTACTTGCAGAACATCGCCAATATTAATGATCAATGACAAAAAACAGTCTTGTAAGTAATGTTTTTGTTAAAAAAATTAATCTCATTCAGAAAATGATTGTTTATGATAATTATACTTATTTGAGTTGGATTGTGCAATTCACAACACAGATTCCAAGAAAAAATGAAGTATGCAACAATTCTTGCAGGATTATCCTCGAGAACCCTTTTTAAGATAATTGGCCTGCGGAAGGCTGGCTAAAAGGTATTTTGTGATCGAATGCATAAAATAGATATTTCAAAAATACTTGGCCTAATTATAATTATTATTTGTTGTTAGGCATTTCTGTAGAGAGATCTGGAGATTGTAACAACTGGACTACTGAAGCTACGAGTGCATGTGTTTCAGAATCTGATATAATAAAATAGTTTGTTGCCGTTTACAATTATTTAAAAGCAAAACAGCTGGAAAACTTGTTGAAAGATACTTTGAGATTATACAATAGTGACAAAACAGGATTTCAACTTTGCCTTATAAAGTGGAAAGGTTTAAGAATGTTTATTCCACCAAGTATGAATCATTGAAAGAAAATATAACAGTAACACTCAATGTTCTTGATAATGTCACATTTATATATCTAATTGAAGAGGAAAAAGTCAAGATGTTCAGAAAAATTAAAGAAAGTCAAACAGATGAATATAAACAAACATTCATCATTATCATATATTGTTTGCAGAAATGTTAAACGATGCAAGTACTGACCAACTTAGAAAAAAAATGCCAACATATCTCTAAATGAACTTGAAGTAAAAAGTGCTAATACCAACAAATTATCTCAAAACAATTTTGCAGAAATACAATGCATTTTTCATATGATAGATTAAAATGAATCACAAGAGGAAAAGTGAACAGAATATAGAGATTTTCATATTCCATAACATATTTTGATGTAAAGACAAAAAAGGAGGCAACTAAAACAAGTGCACAAAAAGAAGCTATCAAAGCTCAAAAATTACAAACAAGATACAGAAAGAAAATATCTACAACATGCATAGGTGTGTACGTGACAACTAAGAATAGTCATCATCCTAGGTACATTCCAAAACATCACCAACAAAAGTTATTCCTTGCTCAAATGACTACGACGAGTTGTATAATCGTTACCCAAAGCACAAAGATCAATAATTGTTAATAAAGATTATGTAACATCTCAATAAATACATGCGATTTGATATTTTGTTGTCTTTATCTCAGTAATTAGCCAGATTTATTTATTTCTACTTTTAATGCCAAAAAATTTATAATAATGGCGCCAAGGTTAATTTAATTTTTATATTAAAGTCAAACGTTCCCAATAATTAGTTTGGTTATGTCGTGTACATACGAACTTTAAGGCATTAAAGCAATAAAATAATCAAACTTTTGAGTACAGAAATGAAACAAATGATTTCTCATAGTGATGAGACCAACTGAAGTAAGAGTGTATCTTCAAATAAAGGAGAGAAGCAGCAGACAATATTTTTTGATTGAGAATATTTTTCACCTGCTAATTTAGTCTTGCTTTTCTTAGTTATTTAATTAACATCTGATCAAAATTACTTCTTAGACTTTATCATTTTGACACTCATTAAAATCTGAAATTTCAGTTTACCTATAAAATTTCTTTAACTAATGTAAGTTGGACTTCATTGGTGAGGGGAGAAAATTGACTGCTTTTTATTATTATTACAGCTGAGGCTAGGATAATTGAATAAAAATAGATATTTGCTCTATGAAATGCTTTTACAATTAATTCATAGAATCTGAACAACTTAATCTTGCAAGATTAAAAGTTTATTTTCACCAAGGAAAAAAAAACCTTTAAAAAGCAAATTACTGTCAAAGTATGTTCTCTCTAATTTATTACTTAAATAAAAGTTAATTATACATGACATATTAATTATTATATTTAATTTAGAATCATTAATGTAACATTGAAGAAAATTAAATTAATGTAAAATGTTTTGTAGTAGTTATCTTTTTTTTAGTATAACCTACTTCAATACTTAACAAAACTTTTAAAAGTAAGAAAATAAAAAAACAAGTTTAATGCAGTTCAGAAATTGTAAACAGCATTATTTCAAATTAAATATTTTCTTTTTTTAAGATTAGCTTTCTACACAAGTCATTGAAGTCAATATTTTAATGGTAAGCATTTTTTAATATTAATTTTGTAATAAATGCAGTAATCTTTAGTGTGACATTATTTAGGAAAGTCATATTTAATTAATTTAACCAATACGAAGATAAAATCAAGCATTTTTTATACAAGTACATAAACCTATTGTTCTCCGCTTATATGTTTTCTCATATGAGCAAGACAGAATAATTTTTTTGGCACTCGATGCTCCGCTTTGGCCCAGCTAATCTGTGCAACATACGAGTATAAACTTTACAATGATATAATGGTTTATGTTTCGAAAAACATTCGAACACGTTCGGGATCTAGTTTGGTGCAGGTTGCAAGATTGCGGTTTCCCACAAAATGGGTCTATTCGAGTCAATTGGGGAAGATGGGGTATATAATTTAAAGTCTTTTCTAATTAGGCGTTAATTAAAAACAGCAGTTGTTCAGAGTAGGGGTGAGGAATGGATTGCTCTAACGGTTAAAAGAATAAGTTGTACGGGCCATACTCCAACCATTTGCACCTATCTCAAATCTGTCTTCAGCATCGTGTATAGGTCAAGAGCTTTATTTTGAAGTATGTACTGTACTTGCAGCTGTTCTCTCAAACCAAACTGGACAGTATTTGAGGCTTACCGAATTAATCAGGGGCGTGCCGTGACATTTGACTATAGGGAAGCTGTGTTTCTGTAAGAAGCCGACATCCAGGGGCAATCAGTCAATTGCGCGTCAGTGATGGTCTAGGGTCCATTCGTATCGTTTATTCGATAAGCCAGTAAAAACCGTAGACTTCTCTAAATGCATTTTTAATATCACAATTACATTCCGAATCGCTAGCCACGATATAAGGGCTACAATTAAAAATAAAATAATAAAAACTTACTCGGTAAAATAAAATATGTGGTGGATGTACCGGTACATACAAAATATTCTTCAATTATATGAATATACTTTAAAGAAAATTATAATTAAATATAGCTTTGCAAAGAAACGTACATAAAAATATAAAATATTCTTTACTTTTTAAATCTTAAAACAATGCACTTAGTCAAGTAGCTCCCTACGAGTGGCTAATGAATGGAATCGAAGACGGTTGCAGAGCGTGCATGCACGCACTGCCAAATCCCCAGGGTGCCGATACCGGTCAATTCAAATACCTCTTTTGTCGCATCATTAGTATATCTGAAAGGACGCGACAGGGCTGTTGTAGATTTTAAACGTTTCTCACCATAGCTGTAAAAATCTAAATACTCGTATGTTAAACATAATAGTCATTTGTTTTCTAACTAATTCGT